ACCCAAGTGCACCTGTTGAACCCCAAGGCGGATGCAGGGAGCCCGGACCCAAGTGCTCTCCCACCAGGCCCACGCTTGGAGCTCCTCTCTGCATGAACAGACCTGGAGGTGCCCCCCTCCCCACACCCCAAGGGATCAGGCGGCGTGGATTGAGCAAGTCCCCTGAGGGTGCACGCGGCGCATGTCTGGTCCCTGAGTGTATGTCGGGAAGCCAGAGGCAAAGCCGGTTAGTGGTCTGTGCGTGGGGCGAGTCATCCTGGTGTGGAATGTGGGCCAAATGGGCCAGATTCTTGCTCAAGGGCTCTTTTATTCAAAATAGGATTTATTTATTTGCAAAGCAATGAAGGAGAGGGAGAGATGTTGCAAGATCTCCAAAGGGTCTTGACAGTGAGGGCTGGGCCAGGCCACAGCCAGGAGCTCCCTCTCGGTCTCCCGTGTGGCCTCAGGGCCCGAACCCCCACCCATCAGTGCTGCCCGCCCCCGGGTGTGCATGGGGTCAGGAGCTGGAATTGGGAGTCAAATTGAGCCCATGGGGGGTGTGGGTGCCTTAACTACTCAATGTTAATTTTTTTAAGGTTTACTTTTTATTTATTTGACGGTCAAGGTTACAGAGTGAGAGATAGATTTTTTAAAAAAGATTTATTTTTATTGGAAAGTCAGATATACAGAGAGGAGGAGAGACAGAGAGGAAGATTTTCTGTCCGTTGATTCACTGCACAAGCGGCCACAATGGCCAGAGCTGCACTGATCTGAAGCCAGGAGCCACGAGCTTCTTCCTGGTCTCCCATGCAGGTGCAGGGTCCCAAGGCTCTGGGCTGTCCTCCACTGCTTTCCCAGGCCACAGACAGGGAGCTGGATGGGAAGTGGAGCTGCCGGGACTTGAACCAGTGCCCGTATGGGATGCTGGTGCCGCAGTATGGAGGATCAACCTATTGAGCTATGGTGCCCCCACCAGGGACTTTGAGATCCTCAGTGAGTTGTCCTCACCCGTATGTGCCCCTGTGCCTCTCTCCTTCCGCCTCTGAGCTTTCCCCTGCACACGCAGCCCAGCACCCCCTGTGTCCACACTTGGAGAGGGAGTCCTGTGTTTGTCCAGCCCTCCACCAGGCCACCATGGATGGCCTTGGCAACCATCTGGGGTCAGGGAGAAGTTTCTAGACCAAAGAGGGAAGCATCCATCCGCCTCCTCCAACACGTGTGTGTTGAGAAAAGAGGAAGTGGGGAATGTGGAGGTGTGTCTGGGTCACACCAGGGCTGCACCCGGGGCAGCTGACCCAGGCCGGCCATCGGGGCAGCTGGCTCAGGCCGGCCACTGGGGCAGCTGGCTCAGGCCGGCCACCGGGGCAGCTGACCCAGGCCGGCCACCGGGGCAGCTGGCTCAGGCCGGCCACCGGGGGCAGCTGGCTCAGGCCGGCCACCGGGGCAGCTGACCCAGGCCGGCCACCGGGGCAGCTGGCCCAGGCTAGCCACCGGGGGCACTGGCTCAGGCCGGCCATCGGGGGCAGCTGACCCAGGCTGGCCATCGGGGCAGCTGGCTCAGGCCGGCCACCGGGGGCACTGGCTCAGGCCGGCCAATTTCCCTTCTGCATCTCTTGCGATGTCTAATAGCAGACAGAAAATGGGGGTTTGAAGAGGGTGTGAAAGAGACTCCCCCCACCTTTTTTTTTTAAACTTTGGATTCTGGGTTCTATGTTCTGGGTGTGGGTTTAAGACAGCGGCAGGAATAGTCCCTTCAGTATGACTTGCGGATGGGAGATGAGCCCCAAACTGGCCAGGTTCCATAGGCAGACCGAGGCGCACGGGAGCGGGGGGTGGGTCTTGTGACATGCCCGTTGTCGCTGAGTGGGTCGGCGGCACGCCTGGGATTGGCACTTCGTCTGAGTCTCCAGTGGTTCGTCTTGTAGCTGTTGACCTCCAAGAGATGGCATGTGGACTTGAACTATCCCAGAGGAGCCTGACCTTGAAGCTGCTTCTGGTGGAAAAGAAGCATGTGATATGGCCAAAATAGGTGCCCGAGGCAGAGAATGGATGAGAATGGATTCTGGGGTGGAGGGTGGGTGGGGTTCTGGATCTGTTGTTTGTTATAATAGCTGCGGCTCCCCCGGGATATCATGCTAAAATAGACAAGAGCTGCTGCAGTCAAAAGAACTGTTTGTTGGTGTTTTTAAGGTTTTATTTGAGAGAGAGAAATATTGATGGGTTCCATTCCTGAGTTACTTCTCAATTAGCCAGAACAGCTAGTGCTGGGCCAGGCGGAAGCCAGGAGCCTGGAATTCTCGTTCAGTTATCAGGGACCCAAGTGCTTGGGCCGCCCTCCGCTGCCTTCCCAGGCACCTCAGCAGGGAGCTGGATGGGAAGTGGAGCAGCCTGGGACTTGAACCAGTTCTTTTAGGGGATGCTGGCGTGACAGCTTGCAGTTTAACCAAGCTGCACCATAGTACTGGTCCTGGTTTGTGAACTTTTGCTGAAGCTTCTAGAAACTTCGCTCATCAAGCAAGAAGTGGCTCAAGAATGGACTAGAACCTTGTGTGTGGCAGAGGTGGCTGTGCCCTTGCCTGTGACCTCTCACCTTCAAGGAGTCCACTCGATGCGTTCCGTGGTGGGAAGGCGTTGCCAAAGGCGTCCGACCTGGGTGTCCAGGGGCCAAGGCCTGGCTGGACGCAACACAGCCGAGAGAACCCAGGGGCTGCACACATCTGTTGGGAGCAGGTGTCTGAGCACCAAGTCCCCGGCGTTCTGGGCTAAGTCCCCCGAGTCCCGTGGTCTCCAGCTTCATTCTTGGTGGGTTCCCCTACATTCTCGTGGTAATATTTTTCTCTTTGTTTGCCTTAGAAAGCATCCTCCCCCTGACCACACCCTCTGTTTAGAGACAGAGGAACAGGTGAAACAAAACATAACAACAGAAAAGGATGGGGTGAGTTCCTGCTGATTCGAGCCAGGTGGCACAGGCGGCTTCCTCTCCTGGCATCTGCCTCGGCCAAGGCTTTCTCTCTTTTTCTAAAAAAAAAAAATAATATATATATATATAATTGGGAAGGCAGATACACAGAGAGGAGGAGAGACAGAGAGGAAGATCTTCCATCTGCTGGTTCACCCCCCAAGTGGCTGCAACGGCCGGAGCTGAGCCGATCTGAAGCCAGGAGCTTCTTCCAGGTCTCCCATGCAGCTGCGGGGTCCCAAGGCTTTGGACCGTCCTCGACTGCTCTCCCAGACCACAAGCAGGGAGCTGGATGGGAACCGGAAGAGTCAGGATGTGAACTGGTGTTCATATGGGATTCTGGCACAGGCAAGGCAAGGATTTAGCTGCTAGGCCATTGCGCCGGGCCCTGGTTTGTTTCCACAGTTTTGTTTGCTTGTTCCATCACATAGGAATTCCTGTGTGGCTCCTTCTCTCCTCCCACAGGCTCAGGCCTGCCAAGCCACCCTCACAGGTGAATCCCGGGTGGGGAAGCTGTCGGAGGCGGTTACGGGAAGGTCACTGTCAGGTCTTCTTGTCTGGTATTCACGGTTCATTCACAGAGCCGCCCATTGAGACGTCCTTTGCCAGCCAAGCAGGACCGTTCCCACGAGCAGTGTCACATGGTTTACACACAGGCACTGCACCTTGCAAGCGTCAAGTGAGCGGGGGTCAGAGCTGGGAAAGCTCGTTCGAATTCGGGCTTGTCCACGGAGAAAGGCTCGTGTTCGTTCAGTCACACTCCGTACTTGTAAAAACCCATGCGATGATTTTAAGCATGTGTTTGAGCTGATCTCTGTCCATAGATGGAGAGATGTTAGCAAATGATACAGCATGCTTCCGTCTGCTGACTACTACACCTAGGGCTGGCTCAGCAAGGAACTGAATGGATGATCTAGGTCTCCCATGGGCGTGACGCGCCAAGGAGAGCTTCAGCCATCTGCTGCTGCCCCTGCCCTGCCCTCAGGCATTAACAGCAAGCTGGCACCAGGACCGCAGCTGGGCCTGCAGCCCAGGCAACCAGTATGGGGTACGGGCACTCCACGTGGTGTCTTAACCACAAGCCCCAACATCTGCTCCGAGTCATGAATGTAACGAAAACGGATGTCGCATGTGTGTGGCCAGTGCGGGAAGCCCTTCCGGACCAGGACCCACCTGAGCGTGCACAAGAGGACCCGCACGGGCTAGAAGCTGTATCCGTGTGCCACCTGCGGCCAGGTCCTGAGTCCCCTGTCCATCCTCAAGAGTCAGATGCGGACCCGTAGCAGGGAGAAGTCCTACGCCTGCCAGCAGTGCGGGCGGGCCTTCAGCGAGCCCTGGTCCCTCGGGAAGCAGACCCACGCTGGCACCAAGCCCTACGCCTGCCAGGAGTGCAGGGGGGCCTTCTGTCGGCCCTTGCCCCTGACCGTGCACGTGATCTCAGCGCAGGGAGAGACCCTCGCAGTGTCGCAGTGTGAGAAGGCTTTCAGACACAGCTCATCCCTGACCACACACAGAAGGGTCCACAGCGGGAGGGAGGCCACGATAACCTTGTCCTTGCGGTGGGCCCCTTGCTAATTAGCATCTGTGGCTGTCACTGCGTTGCTGACACCTCTGTGGTTGCACCCCGGGTCTCCCCTGCTCCTGCAGGTGCAGCCAACAAAGGGCTGACAGTAGCGAAGAAACTCCTACCTCTGCTAGGAGCGGACACGGGGCCTCTCTTTTTGTCATCATCTCCTCCCCGCAAAACGCCAATGTGGCACCCACTTTCATAGCCCTTGCCCTGTGCTGGGTGTCACAGGTAACCTCGAGCTGGTTTTGAGTATGTGGGATGTTGTGTGGGAGTCGTGTGCAAATACTATACCGTTTTGTATGTGGGACGTGAGCATCTGCAGATTTTGGGGTGTGTGTGTGTGTCTCCGTGGGTAACAGCTGGAAGGAATACCGACTCCCTGGTCCATCCTGTGGTTGCCTCATCCAAGGCTGGGTCAAATGAAGGTGTGTTTCTGACACAGCCCACAAAGCTGGGTGCTCCCCACCCGTGAGGCAAACAATTTATTTAAAAAAAATGGTTTAATATTCATTTTAAACTCATTTAAATGCTTACTATGTTGACACAGAACATTTTCCTTACTTGTATTCTGTATGTATCTATTCTCTCCAGAAACACACGCACACGCAGTGAGTGGCCGTCCCGGTAGGGCCGACTGCTTGTCTCTGCTCACCGATGCTACGATTGTGTGGCTCTCACACTCCGCCCTGCTTCTGTCTCCTCTGACATCCCAGTCCCTTCCAGCATTGTTGAGGCTGATATTCCTGCTCTGAGAATTTCAGCTTCCAGAAGCGTCTTTGCAAGGAGCAGAGGATGGAGAAAGGGCCCCAGAAGAGCTGGACCAAGTGCTTGGAGCTCAGTGAGCACACGGAGACTTCAGGGCTGCAGCTGGGACACCAAGTGTGCCCTCCTGGCCCCCTTCGCACGGCTGGCTTGACAGGGTCGTTGAAACGTACATGAAGTATTATTGTATTTAAATTCTGCTTCGTGGCTTAAAGAGTCCAGGAGTGTCACAGGCAAGGAGAAGTTTGTTCATAATTCAACTGGAATAATTTTATTGAGAGAGAGAGAGAGAGAGAGTCAATCTTCCATCTGCTGGTTGATTCTCCAAATGACCACAATAGCCATGTTGAGGCCAGGCTGAAGCCAGGAGCCAGGAGCTCCATCCAGGTCTCCTGTGTAGGGGGCAGGGACCCAAATATTAGGGCCGCCACCTGCTGCTTTCCCAGGCACATCAGCAGGGAGCTGGATGGGACTGAGTATTCTGTGATGGGACGTCGGTGCTGTAAGCGTGGCTTAGCCGGTGGAGCCGCAGTGCTCCATTGATTTTGGGAAGAAATGAAGTTTTAGATATAGCAAAGTTGCCTACAGGGGCCACGGGAGTCAGGAAGTACGGATCTGTGCGTGTTGCCCTTGGTTGAGCTGGCCACATCCCACGTGGGGTCCCAGGTCTGCCTCTGCTTCCTGCCGACCCTGCGGGCGGCAGCGAGGGCTCACGGACGGGGTTGGGCTCCTGCCAGCCTTGTGGGAGACCTGCAGGGAGTTCTCGGGTCCTGGTTCTGTCCCCTGCCCAGGTCTGGCTAGCGTAGGCACTAGGAAAACGGAATGGCAGGTTTGAACTTTGTCTCCCTATGTCTGTTTCTGTTGGTCTAGCTCGCAAAGAGTAAGAAAAGTTTTTGAAAGTGAAATAAGAAACTTGTTAGAGAAGCAGACTTTATCTGCTCATGTCCCAGAAAGCAGCCATAAGAACACTGCAGGGTCCACCGGTTCTAATCCCGGCTGTTCCACTTCCCATCCAGCTCCCTGCCTGTGGCCTGGGAAAACAGTGGAGGACGGCCCAAAGGCTTGGGACCCTGCACCCGCGAGGGAGACCTGGAGGAAGTTCCTGGCTCCTGGCTTCGGATCCTTGGAGCTCAGCTTAACTCTGGCTGTATTCTAATTTTAGAACTCGTGACTGTACGACATTGCCTGAGCAAGGACGTTCTCAGCTATGGTGGTGGTAAGGGTTTGAGAAGGCAGCATTTTCCTATGTTCTGAGAACTCAGTGTCAGTAAGAGGGAAGCAGGCAAGTCAAAGGCAGGGATGGAGACGCGAGAGAGAGGAGAGGGAGGCGTGGAGGGAGAGGAGGGAATCAGAGAGAGGGAAGGAGCGAGACAGAGAGAGAGGGAGAGAGAACAGAGAGAATCCCCATGCACTGCCTCATTTTCTGCTTCGCTGAGCTGTACCCAGGCCAGGTGCCAAGCACTCACCCTGGGGGTGAGGAACTGAATCCAGGTCTCCCGTAAGAGTGGGTGGCACGGTCCCAACTCCTCTCCATCACCAACTACAGCTTCCTGGGCAGGGGGAAGGGGCACTAGCAGGAACCAGAGGTGTGACTTAACACGCATTCATGTGGGCAGGGGATGTGGGCACGTGACACCAGGCGAGTCAGTGGGGTGTGCACGTGATCTCACCGTGCCCGGCTTGGAGGTGTTGCACGTAGCCCTGCTGGACAGCATGTACGCCTCGGACGTTGTGGAACTTGAACTTCTCAGCTTTCCAATCCACTTCCTGTACTGCTGGCGGACCTGCGGGGGCCAAGGCATGGGCCAGCTCAGCTCCCCGAGCGCCCAGAGGCTGGGCAGGGGCAAGGGGTAAGCCCAGAATGTGTGTGTGTGTGGGGGTGAGGTGCACCTGCTTGCTGAAGACACAGTAGACCAAGAAGATGAAGACCCCCTGCAGGGTGTTGATGATGGTGAAGAGATAGGCCATGACGCGAGCAGCGGGCCCCACCTGCAGGAGGCCGAGAGCCCACGTACAGCCCAGGATGAAGAGCTGGGCCGTGGCTTTGAACGTCAGCATCCTGGGGGGCGGAGGAGGGAGGGAGAGAAAGGCAGTGCAGTTAGAGGAACAAAACCAAGGCTGTTCTCCTGTCCATCCCTGGGTGCCCCCTCCTCCCCACACCCAACTGCTAGACTCAAGTGCTCCAATGTGGGCTGCGGCTGTCCCAGGCAACCCCATTTCCCACGAGCTGTGTGAAGTGGCCACTGGCCATCACCAGGGGCCACGGCCTCTCTCGTCCGTCTTACCGTGTGTCCTGGCTCTGGAAGGTGGACACGTCACTGCTGAGGGAGGAGAGCTTGCGTGTCAGAATCCAGAGGGTCATCAGGAAGAAAAACAGGTTGATCTTCGAGAGATCACAGAAGGCGTCTTGAGTAGAGCGTTCAGTTTGTCGCCAGCCTACCCGACATTGATTCTATACATCCTCAATATTTGTTGGCAGGGTTCCAGTTGGAGCGTTTAGGAGTGGGGGGTGGGGGGCAGGTTGGGGCGCTCTGCTTGGGACCCGGGAGCTTCATCAGACCGCCAGGGCTGGAGCCCTCACTCAGCTCCTGCCTGCTAAGGCGCAGGTGGTAATGGCTCAAGTACTTGGGTCCTTGTCACCCATGTGGCAGACCTGCGTGGACTCTGTGGTTCTGGCTTTAGCCGGGTCTGGGTCTCTGGATGTTGTGGGCATTTTGGAGGAGGGAGTCAGCGCATGGGGGCTCTCTCTCTCTCTCTCTCTCTCTAATTTAGCAAGAGGAAAGGCCAGGCTGGCCCACAGCCACCCAGGAGCAGTGCTGTTCCTGCCAGCCCAGTGTCCTGCTCATCTTGCTCTCATGGTGGCTGCTGTGCGGGAGGAGGGCCGGGTGATGTCACTCACGGAGAACACGACACAGACGGGTCCAAGGAAGCCCCACAGAAACCCCTTCTCTGGGCGTAGCCAGCAGCTGAGACGCAGGCAGGGGTGGGCAAGACAAAGACACAATGTTTCTTGGAGAGGGAGGGCCGCATGTCCGATGCCTCCCTCCACCCACCTGCCTCTGCTGCCGCCTTCGCTCTCTCCATCCTGGCCTCCCTCCCTGCCTGTCTCCCTCCCTCCTTCCTACCCCTCCATACCTTCTCCCACTTTCCCCCTCTCCATTTTCCCGGGCACCTCCTTTCCCCTCTCTCCTTCCCCCTCTTTTCCTTTGCTTCTCTCCCCTCCCCTCTCCTCACCTTCCCTCCCCTTTAGGACATCATCATTGCATTAGCAGGGAGCGGGATGGGAAGTTGAGGAGGGGTTGGTACGATGGTGTAGGAAGCTAAGCTTCTGCCTGTGGTGCTGGCATATCATAAGGGCGCAAGTTCAAGTCCCGCCTGCTCCACTTCCCATCCAGCTCCCTTCTGGGGTCTGAGAAAGCCAGCAGAGGATGGTTCAAGTCCTTGGGACCCTGAGCCCACACGGGAGACCCGGAAGAATCCGCAGGCTCCTGCTTCAGAGCAGCTTGGCTGCGGTCATTAAGGCCATTTGGGGAGTGGACCAGCAGATGGAGGATCTCTACCTCTTTTGGTTTCTCGTAATTCTGCCTTTCAAGTAAAAATTTAAAAATAAATATTCTTAAAAATAAATACATCTTAAATAAAAAAGAAGTGGGGTCTCTGGGACTTGGACTGACATCCTGGTGGGATGCTTAACCGACTGAGCCGTAACACCAGTCCCCCAAATGCTACTTGGTTGTGCTGGTGGCTGTGTTTGTGCTGGCAATCTGCACTCACCGGGCAGGCGTTCCGTAGAGGTGAGGTCTGGCCGCTGCTGAGATGGCCACGATCACAGCTGGGATCCCGTAGCCCACAGGGAACAGGTGCTTCCTGGTGAGTCGGCTCCCCCTGGAGTAGTTGAGCACTGTGAGGTTCCGAGCGGTGAGGAACAGGTGCAGGCCTTCCAGGAGCATCCAGGCGAAGGAGGCCAGGTAAAGGAAGTGCAGGGCTCCAGCGATGAGGGCACACAGCACCTGGGGGACACCTGGGAGTCACCAGGGAGCTGACGAGGTGCAATGTGGGCAGGGAGACGTGTGGGTGCAGGGCAGTGATGATGACATCTGGTGGGTAGGAAGTGGCGTCACCAGGGTACATTTAGCATGTGGCCCAGCACGTCCACTGGGGTCTCCCAATGTTGGAGAAGGTGTTGCACCTAATGACACTTTGACGGACGCTGGCTCGCTTCCATTGTCATCTCATAAGATGGTAATGGAGCCAAAAAGAGAAAAAAAAAGGAAGAAGAAAAAGCCCTTTCTGCCTAGTGACATAGTCCTGGCATAGCGGAGTGCCTCGCTCCCGAGTCTGTGCCGGTGGTGAGAGGACGGCGGAGTGCAGGTAACATAGAGGACATAACGCAGGTGACACCCGCTCAGAAGGCCTCGGCTTGGTACCCGGGCTCCTGACGTTAGCTGCCTGTCAGTGCAAGCCCCTGCAGCCAGCTGTGATGCCTTGTATAATTAGGTTCTTTCTTTTCAGTCAGCTATACAGAGAGGAGAGACAGAAAGGTCTTGTGCCTGCTGATTCATTCCCCAAGTGGCTGCAAGGGCTGGAGTCGATTTGATCTGAAGCCAGGAGCCAGGAGTTTCCTCCGGGTCTCCCACGCGGGTGCAGGGTCCCAAGGCTGTGGGCTGTCCTCGATTGCTTTCCCAGGCCACATGCAGGGAGCTGGATGGGAAGTGGAGCAGCTGGCACTCGAACCAGCATCCACATGGGATCCTGACGTGTGCAAGGCAAGGACTTTTGTCACTAGGCTACTGTACCGAGCCTGAGTAATTAGCCCTGGAGACCTGGAGTAGCTGGCTTCTAGCTTTGACCTTGGCCCAGTTCTGGCTGCTGTGAATAAGCAGATGGCAATATTCTTAGCTTGCTTGATGTAGCACAGGAGTGGGTGTTGTGGGACTGCGGGTTAGGCGTCCCTGGATTATGACGCTGATGTCCCGTCTAGGAGCTAAAGCCTCAGTGCTCTGCTTCCCACCAGGATGCCTGCGGATGCCCTGGGAAGGCACCGGGATGCCTGCGGATACCCTGGGAAGGCACCGGGATGCCTGCGGATGCCCTGGGAAGGCACCAGGATGCCTGCGGATGCCCTGGGAAGGCACCAGGATGCCTGCAGATGCCCTGGGAAGGCACCAGGATGCCTGCAGATGCCCTGGGAAGGCGGACGAGGGTAGCCCAAGAGCCTGGGCTCCTGCCAACCACCTGGGGAACCAAGATGGTTCTTGGCTTCCACCTAGACCAGCCTCCGCCACTGTGACTCTCCAGGGAGTGTGGGGGAGTTGAAACAGCAGGTGGAAGCTCTCTCTCTCTCCCTCTCTGTAGAACTCTGTTGGAAAGAGCAGCAGGTCCACTCATGTTACTACAGAGTTCTTGGTAGTAAGACAGGCACATCAACGGCGTTCCTGCTGACTCTGGTAGGACCGTGGCTGTGACATCAACCGGGGCTCAGGCATCCTGTGACCCAGGGTGGGATGGGGGCAGACAGGGCATGCTTGGGGACACACTGGTTACCTTGGGCTCAGTCCGGTCGATCCCCGTGAGGAAGAGGAGGTGTGCCAGGAAGAGGCAGAGCGTCAGCTGCAGGTGCAGGGAGGTGCTGGTGTTGTGGATAGCTTTGCACAGCAGGAAGGTGAGGGCGGCCAGCAGCAGACACAGGAGGGAGAGGCCCAGCCCGACGCGGGTGAAGGCAGCCAGCACAGGGTCCTGCTCCTGGACCGCAGCGGGACAAGAGCTCCTGTCATGAGACTGTGGGATAACAGTCTCTCCTCTGTGTATATATTTTTTCTTCTTTTGTTGAGGGAATTTGGGGCTGGCCTAGCAGCAGCACTAGCCTTTGCCTGCGTTGTCAGCATCCTATATTGGCGCGGGTTCATGTCCCAGCTGCTCCACTTCAGATCTAGCTCCCTGCTCTTGGTCTGGGAAAGCTGCAGAAGCCCAGTCTGTATCCAGACCCTAGCAGCTGGTTTGTTCGGGGCTGGGGGCTGACTTAACCAAGGGAGCCCTGGAGGGGTCTGGGCTCTTCCCCCCAGACACGGAGGCAGAGAAGGACTCCACGGCAGCGATGCGCTCCCTGCTGGCCACCAGTGGGAAGTACAGGGGCATGTGTGGGGCTGAAGTGAGAACATGTGGACTGAGTGTAGTCCCCTACTAAGAATGCATGGCTTCAACGCTCTGACTCTAAGAAATGTGAATTCTGCCTGCAGCTGGGACCCTGAGGAAATGCCAGAGAGAGGGCCCCTGTGGGTAGAGCCTGTCAGAGCCGTTCTGATCCACTCACCTGCCAGCACCATGGGCTATGCTCCTGGGAGCTTCTCACGTAAGTGACAGAAATGGCCCCCTCCACTGAAGGCTCTCACCTGTACATCCGAGTAGGCCATGAGGACGGCAAAGGTGCTCAGGTGGCTGCAGCGACAGGTGGTTCTGTCGTCCCAGCTGCCCTCTGTCTTGCAGCCAGCAGCGGCCCACTGGCCACACACACTGTTGCTTCGCTCCCAGGAGACGCAGAGTACCTGGTGCTCTGGCCCTGGGATCACCAACTGTGCAACAGAGAGCAGGTGTGAGCTCGTGGCATTGCTGCTTGCTGGGTCTGGCTAGGTGGGAGCACTGAGTTTCCTGGGGGTGGAGGTTCCCCTGAGGAGTCAGGGCTCGTGAGCTCTGCTCTCCCGACCCCTCCAGCACTCACGCGGTGGGAGAAGGTGAAGGTGACGGCGGAGCTGAGGTTCTGGGTGTCACTGTCACCCACAAAGGCTGAAATGACGTCCGACAGCAGCACGGGGGGGCGACCCTGCAGCCAGCCCCTGGGCGTTCCGTGGTCCAGGCCCAGAGGAGCCTCAGCCATTAGCTTATTCATCCCTGGAGTGGAGACCAAGCCTACCACAGAAGGGCCTGCAGGACCAGCCCATGTCGGTCCGGGGGTCTTCACAAAGGGCACCTTCTCTCCTCAGATTCACTCTCCTCCCATGGCCCTGGCACCACATACTCCCCTTCCATCTTTAGTTCTCTAAATCCCACACTTTTGGGACATCTTGTCTCTCCACGGGGCCTCAGGGACCGTGCCTCGCTCTCAGCATCACCTGTGTCACCGGCTTCCTGTGCAGGTTTCCGGTCCAGCTGCATCTCCACCTGCTGTTGACTCAAGGTCACGTCTCCGACTCTTTGCTCCTGCACCACCAGGGACAGTTCTGTGAGTTGCGGGAAAATCATAACAACAGGGTTAGGTTAGGGATGGTCCCCTTGTGGGTGAGAGAACACCAAAAGTCCAAAGTCCGTTATGTGAGGGTTCCTCAACAAGTTCATGGGAAATGGAAGTGAAAGAAGTTTCTCTTGTTGAAACACACACACACACACACACACACCAATAAACCCTGAAAAGAACATGAGTAGTTCCCACTCCCATAACACACATGTCCATGAACTTGTGAAATATAAAGTGTTGTAAGAATAGTCTGAGGGCCCAGAATAGTAACCTTGCACCTGCCGGGATCTCGTACGGGCACTGGTTCTAATCCCAGCAGCCCCGCTTCCCAACCAGCTGTTTGTGGCCTGGGAAAGCAGTGGAGGACAGCCCAAAGCCTTGGGACCCTGCACCCACGTGGGAGACCTGGAAGAGGCTTTTGGCTCCTGGCTTCAGATCGGCTCAGCTCTGGCTTTTGTGGCCACTTGGAGGAGTGAATCATCGGATGGAAGATCTTTCTCTCTGTCTCTCCTCCTCTCTGTAAATCTGACTTTCCAATAAAAATAAGTATATAATTTTTTTTTTTAAATTGGAAGCTTCTACTCTGTTCGGATGGCAGTCCTGAAAATGAAGCACAGATTCAGGGCAAGTCGTACCAATAACCCAATAACCCACGATGGTTGCTTTGCTGAAAATGCGTGCCGATTGCGAGCAGCACTTGAAAGAAGTCCAGCAGCATTAGTAGCTGGGGGATGCCGGCAAAGACTGCCGTGAGATTTCACCACACGTCTGTTGGAAAGGGCCACCGTACAGACATCAACAGGCACGTCGTAACACTAGGTGGCTGAGAATTTGGGAGTTCACAAATGCTGTCCACTTGCAGTGGGGATGTAAGCTGGTGCTGTCACTTTGGAAAATCAATTTGGTGGCTCCTCAGAAAGAAAAAAAAAAAACCCAAACAACAACAACAACAACAACAACAAAACCCAAAAGCTGAACCGAGAACGACCTTTTCGAACCAGCAGTCCCAAGTCTGCACACCTGCTCAAGCCAAGGCGCGCTGCACATCAGCAGATCCGGCTATTCACGCACCCAAAGGGTGGAGATGATCTGATGGGCCACTGATGGATGAACGGGTGAACTTACAGGTTCCAGTTAATGCAGTGACAATCAGTGAATGCAAGGAATGGAGCCATGCCACATGAGTGAACTTCAAAGATGTTCCAGAGGGCGAGGGGCCAGATAAGGAGGCCACACATTACATGGTGCTACTGACATGCAGAGCTGTGATTGGGCAAACCCTTGGAAACGGAAAATAGGCAAGTGCCACGATCGGGGCTGGGCAACGGAGGACTAGAACATGATTGAAAAGATGAGGAACGCTGACTGTGGATGGCATCGGGCACAGCAGGGTCAGTTACTACTCAGAATGCCAGCATCAGAGTGCCACTTCGAGTCCTGGCTCCTCTACCTGGGATCCAGTTTCTTGCTCATAGCTCAGCAGCCGTGTGGAGACCTGGATGGAGCTCCTGGCTCCTGGCTTTACGACTATCTGGGGCCAGTACGATGACACAAAGAGTTAAGCCTCTGTCTAGGACATAGGCATCCTATATGACACTGGTTCAAGTCCCAGCTGCTCCATTTCCAATCCAGCTCCCTGCTGAGGTGCCTGGGAAAAGCAGTGGAGGGAGGACGCCCAAGGTGCTCGGGTCCCTGTCACCCACGTGGGAGACATGGAAAAGGCACCCAGCTCTGGTCATTGTGACCATTTTGGGAGTGAATCAGCAGATGGAAGCTATCTTTTGTTTTCTTTCTTTGTAACTGCCTTTCAAATAAAAATAAACCTTTATCAAAGAATAGGATTATTTAAGATGATGTGATAGTTCAGTGGATTTGTATGGAGATAAAATTCACATCACGTAAAACTTGGCATTTGAACCTAGTGCAGGACCCAGCACAGTAGCCTAGTGGCCAAAGTCCTTGCCTCGCACGCACTGGAATCCCATATGGACCTGGTTTATTCCCCAGCTTTCCTGCTTCCCAGCCAACTCTCTGTTTATGGCATGAGAAAGCAGCAAAGGACAGCCCCAAACCTTGGGACCCTAAACCTACACGGGAGACTGAAAAAACACCTCCTGGCTCCTGGCTTCGGTTGACTCAGCTCCAGCCATTGTGGTCCCTTGGCCAGTGAATCAGCAGTTGGAAGATCTTCCTGTCTGTCTCTCCTGCTCTTTGCATATCTGACTTTTTCATAATAATTAAAAAGAACCTAGTGCAATCATAATGTTGGACAGCAATATTTCTTCTGTTTATTTGAATGATAGCACGAGAAAGGGGCCTTCCGTCTGCTGCTTCATTCCCCCAGCTGCTGTGCGTGCTTGAGCTAGAATTTTTCGTGCACCTCCTTTTCATGTGTGATGTTTTCGAGGGTGACAGGCGCACGCCCAGTGCGAGAGTCCTGCAGTGAGCAGGAGGAGTGAGGTAGGGCAGGCACAAAGCAGGAGCAGAGGCAGGAGCAGGGGCGTGGGGTAGAGCACAGCTCAGGGCCTACCCGTGCCTGCAGAGTAGTTGAAGGTCAATGTTCCTGCGAGCAGCGACTTGCTCAGGGACTTCAGCGTCCTCTCCTGATACGCCAGCAGGTGAGTGGCCACACAGTGCTGCTGGGAGCGGGGCAGCGTCTCCAGGTCCCCCGGTGCCTCCAGCAGCTCATCCACGTTTTGCATGAGGTCCTGGGTGATCAGGGGACACTGAGCCAATGGCTATGGGCTCAGGGGACAGCCCGCCCCGCAGAGGACAGACCCCATAGAGGAGTATCTCCTTGGGGGGAGAAATGTGGACCTGGCTGGGTTTCTTTGCGGCTAGAAATCTACAATTTCCAGAAATATCAATGAGAATTCACATCTGGCAGCTGTCAGGAGGACAGACAGCTGGGAACCAGCTCGTGCTGGCCTTCTCTGCCAGTTCTGGCCAGGCAGGGCCTCAGACCTATGGCCCACTGCACTGGGGCCCTGCTCCAGGGCTGCATCTACGGAATAGCCTCGCATGGTCTTCCCCAACTTCCACCCTTACCTGGATGGTGTCCTTGGCTGAGGTGGTCTTGAAGTCCCTGCTCAGAGCCTGCACTCTGTCAAGGAATTGAGAGAGGGCCTGGACAGGGGAGGGACAGCAGGGTCAGAGAGCCCGTGGGGGCAGGGTGGGGGGACAGCAGGGTCAGAGAGCCTGTGGGGGCAGGGTGGGGGGACAGCAGGGTCAGAGAGCCCGTGGGGGCAGGGTGGGGGGACAGCAGGAAGCCATGGCCTGGGGTGGGCAGGGTCAGGGGGCAGCAGGGTCAGAGAGCCCGTGAGGGCAGGGTCGGGGGACAGCAGGGTCAGAGAGCCCGTGGGGGCAGGGTCAGGGGACAGCAGGGTCGGAGAGCCCGTGGGGGCAGGGTGGGGGGACAGCAGGGTCAGAGAGCCCGTGAGGGCAGGGTCGGGGGGCAGCAGGAAGCCATGGCCTGGGGTGGGCAGGGTCGGGGGGCAGCAGGAAGCCATGGCCTGGTGTGGGCAGGCAGCTCGGAGCAAGGGCTTTTCCTGCCTTGTGCAGCCGGCTCGGGGTGGGCACTCACCAGGCTGTGGACACCAGGCGGCGGGGTCCAGTTGGACAGGATGGCTGCTGGAGGACGGGACAGGGTGGGCATCAGGTGGGTGCGGTGGGGGTGGGCGGGGTTCGGGGGCAGGGCCACCAGGTACCTTGGCAGACGGTGTTGACTGGGCCGTGGGGGGACCCGGGCACCGGTTCCCAGCCTGGGCGGCAGCGGCACTTGTATGTCCCGATGGTGTTGCTGCACACAGCGGAGCTGTGACACTGATGCTGCCCGGAGCTGCACTCGTCCACGTCTGGGTACAGAATGGCGGGGTCAGGCCGGGTCCCCTGACCCCCCTGCCCCCTGCCTCCTGCCCAAGCCCCCAGCCTGCCTTTGCCCACTCTGTGCCCCTGGCTGCAGTGCTGCCACCTGCTGACAGCGTGCCCCGAGGGAGGAGTAAGCAGGAAGCCTGGCCCCTCCCCGCCCCAGCTCCATCCCTGGCACCCCCGAGGGTCTCTCCACATCCAGCCTCGGGGGCAGCAGTGCCTTCCCGAGGGGTCAGTGGGCCAGACCGTGGGCAGTGACTGGGCAGCAGAGCGAGCCCCGGACCTTGGCAGACGGTGTTGTTGGGGCCGTTGGGGGACCCGGGCACCGGTTCCCAGCCTGGGCGGCAGCGGCACACATAGCCACCTGCCTTGTTGATGCAGTGGGTGGAGTTGTGGCACGGCCCTGGTTTCCAAGCGCATTCATTCACATCTGAGGACAAAGCCAGAGGGTCAGGGCCACCCTGGCCGGGCTGGCCTCCCCGTCACTCATGGTTGAAGCAGGTTCTTGGACCAGCGGCTCACACCTGTCACCTCACTTGGCTTTCGCGTCTGCCTGAGCCCCAGGAGCGTTTCCCCACCTGTCACCCTCACCGCTGAGCTCCATGAGGTCTGGGCTTTACTTTCAGTGTCTTTCCTAACAAAGACATCCTGGAAAGCACTAACAGATGGGCGAGAGTTTCCCTGTATTTTCTAGCGTCGTATGGAATCAGCCAACGGACCCCTTGCTTCCCATGTCATCTGTTTGTAAGCACTTTTCCTGTCATGCTGACCCTGACTTCTGGGATTTGATGAACTTGGTGGTAGAACTGAGTCTGAGCCTGGAAAGTGTTGCAAGTCTCTGACTGTTGCCTCATTTTGTCTTAGTAAAACCAACACTAGGAGACCACCGTGGGGGTGGTCTGAACATGAACTTGAGCTTCAGTCATGGTCTGCCACAGTTCCACTGGGGGCCAAGCCACCTATGTCAGTCACTAGCTTGTCTTTTTCTAAATGTGACGTCATTGTGGTGCAGATCGGCTAGAACTGTATATGCCCTTGAAGCCACCAGATGCCAGTTTGGTTGGGTCCTCATGACCTAGTTTATCGGTTAATTCTTAGACATGTGCTTTCCTGTCGTGTCGTATCATGTGGTGTCGTGGGACATGATATTACATCCGTCTGAGAAAACAGATTAACTGCTTTCTTCTTAGCTATCTTCCCTAAGACACTTGTCAAGATGGCAAAAAAAAAAAAAAAAAAAAAAAAAAAAAAGGCTGAGCTAAAACTCCAAGTGATCCCTCTATGGAAGCTTAGGAACCTTGGGTCTGGACCGGGATGGGTGTGCAGGTGCCCAGGATGGTTCTCTGGTACCTAGAGGAAGTGGAGCACTTCACCTGTGGCCCCAGCTTTCTGCCCATCACAGCCGTGGTGGACACGTTCTCAGGTGCTGCCACAGACAGAACGCTGGGTGCTGAGGGGAGTGGCCACAGCCGAGCCCCTCTTTGAGCTGTGGCTTCAGCATCAGGCCCTTCCTGAAGGGTCTGTGGTTCCTCCCACTGCCCTGTTCACCCATGGACCTCTGCTCATCCATCTTTCTGAGCCCTCTCACTCAGTGTTACCCATAATCACATCTCCCCAGCATCTGTGTGGAGAGTTGTTCCCGAGAGGGACCCATGACCACCAGGGACAGCTGTAGGACCTTCTCCTTGTACCCCCCATGCCTCACTAGTGGCTGCATCTGTCCAGAGAGAAGAAGGTTGCTTTTCTGTGTCCCAGATCGGTTGAGCTAGGTGTATGGCACAATGCCTGATGTCCTCCACCCATGGGCACCATGGAGTCCATCTGCCAGACTTCTTATGGGGGCACATCCCAAGTATTCGTACCTCTTCCTTACAGCCCCTTCTCTGACACCAAGGGACTCTGTTCTCCACCTGCCGGGAGGGTAGGCAGATGGAGCTGCAAGCAGGGTCAGGGGCTCCTGTCCGCCTGGTGTAGGACGGGCACTTCCTCAGAGTCCCCTGGACGGTTGACTTGGTCTCAGCTTCCTTGCCTCCTACTCGTGTGTCCTTTCGTTTCCTACTCTGGAACGTTGACATAATCCCATTCTGGATTGTTCTACCTCGATCACTTCAGGTGCAGGTTGGCCTTGGTGCACCTAAAGTCCCTCTCTGCTCCATCTCCTTCCTCCCTGACCAGTGTCCACTGCCTGAATCAAAGCCTGGTTTTGCTGAGTAGCCCAGCTTGTCCTGGGTCAGAATCACGGTGACAGGTGACACAGCCAGGTGTGGAGCCAGGCAGCTGGTCCCTGTGTCTGCCCGTGGCCTTCACATCCCTCTTTGTGTAGGTGAGACAAGTAGCTGCGCACCTGTCCTGTCCCAGACCTGAGTACCACAGCCGTTAGCCATGACCCAACCTCCTGGGTAGAGAAGGAAGGGTTCCAGGGACCCCTAACCCTCATAGATGGGGAGCTGGATGTCATGGGGGTGGCTCTTACCCTGACATGTGTTCTGGCTCTCGGTGGAGAAGTTTCGCTCCCCGGATGTGAGCTCGTAGCCCTGGATGCACTCGCAGTAGTAGCTGCCATCCACGTTCTTACAGTCGGCGAATCTCCCGCAGGAAAGGGAGCGGGGAGGGGCGCACTCATCAATGTCTGCAACACGACAGGGCCAGGGTCACCTCTGAAATTGGGGGTGTTCTTCCAGTAGATCTCCTGGTCTTCTAGTCTGAGACCTGGGTGTCACTAGGTTCCCAGTGGCCCCTAGGGACTCGTTCTTTTCTTACTGTTCCATTGGCAGAGACCTTGAGGGCCAGCGGGAATCTTGGACCTAGTTTCTTTGCATCTGTAGGGTCTTTAAAGAGAGTTCCTCCACTCAGGGAGAGAGAGAGAGAGCAGGATTGAAGACCACCCTTGATGCCTGAGCAATGGCAGGGGTCAGAGGCCATAGACGAGTCTCCAGGGTGGCCTTCATCATTGACCCCTGAGGATGAAATTGGGCAGTAAGAGGGACAGCTGCGCCTCCTGGGTCTGTTGCTGTACTCCTCATAACAGCCAAGACACGGACCCAAGCAGACGAACGGGTAAATGCAGTGTGGTGTGGACATGCAGTGGAACGGAGTTCGGCTATGAGAAGACTAGAACCCTGCCACTGGACAGAGCTGGGCGACACAGAAAGACTAATCGGGCATGTTGCCACTTATCCATGGAGGCCAAAAGATCTGGTTTCATGGAGGAAGAGAGAAGCAGGATGGACAGGGAGCTTGGGAAGGGAAGGGAGGGGGAGAGGAAGAGGGTGGGGGTGACAGTTACCAGACCACAAACAGGAAGACACAGTTCTAGTGTCCGACAGCTGAGTAAGAGAAGAAATAAAAAGAAGGAACTTCAACTTGTATTTGAACACAAAAATAGGATGGATGTTTAAGGATAGGGAAATGCTGCCTACCCAACTGTGACATTTATAACTCATGTATGGGATTGTCACACAGCACCTGAACCCTCGGAAGACTGGGGTGTGGAGGATGTGTGATGGACTGTACCCCCAGGACACAGGGGCAGGGAGGACATGAGATGATTCCTGCCCAGCCAAGTTCTCAGGATCATCCCCCGGAATTGGACCAGCAGGCAGTGGTGAGGTGAAGCTGGGCAGGAAGCCCAGTGCCCCCTCACATGCCCAGTGCCCCCTCACATGCCCAGTGCCCCCTCACATGCCCAGTGCTGAGGGTGACCTCAAGCAGACTGTGGACTTCTGGGGCTATCGCTCCTGGAAGCTGTGCTTGTCCACTTTCTTACTTTTCTGCCTTTGTATCCTGTTTCCTGTCTTGGGTGATGATCTTCAGGCCAGGGACAAGACCCCCACCCCCAACATTGGCACCTGGAGATGTTCCACAATTTCCATTTGTTACCAATCTTCCCCCTCCACCAAATTCCAAGTCTCCGTACCTTCACAGGTGTCTGTGGGATCTGTGAACACGTCCCCAAAGAGGGCCTTGAACCCTGGGTTGCAGCGGCAGGCTGTGGCGTTGACACACATGGAATTCCTAGGGCACCACGGGGCACAGGCTGCAGGGTGGGGTAGACGGCAATCAGAAGCTTGGAGCTGAGCCGGGGCTGTGGAGGGGAGACAGCCCCGGGTCTCCCCCACATAAGATTTCCCCCACCGTGCTGGGCTGAGGGATGCAGAGTCGGGAGCCCAGGGCTCCTGTCCCCGGGCTGTGGCCGGTGCTGCTTATTGGGGTCCCCCGTCCCGGGAGCAAGACCCCGATATGGTAAAGATTCTTTGAAAAGTTTATTGGATAAGACTTCAAGCGTTGTGGCTAAGTGAAAGCAGTTACAGCACTTGTTTAAGATTTATTACAGTAAAGCCAAAGCAGCCTAGTGCTAGCTAGCAATAGCCTTGATGTGATAGCCTTAGCTCTAGCTTTAACTCCAGCCTTGAAGCGCGCCTGGGAGAATCTTCTCATTAACCATTCTTTACCCAGACCTTTTTACATTGCACAAACCGATCCATACACAGTTCCTCACATCATGTGATAAGCACACCAATCATGACTTAGGTCACGTAGCTTCCCTGCGTGCTCAGCCCAATCCTTAGTAACTTCCCAAAACCTGTTTACCACCTTTGTGCCACGAAGCAATGGTCAACAAGCGCCATCTTTGAGGTGCGGCTCCGCTCTCCACAGCTGCTCCCAGCGTACTCACCTTGGGGTTTCTGGGCTGCAGCTCCCAACGCAGTCAGCAGGGCCCACAGCACTGCAGGGAGACAGGGATGGGTGTCAGGGGGTGTCTAGAGTCAGGATAGGCAGTCTCTGGTTGCCAGGATCGGGTGGAGGGAGTTAGAAGACCATCCTCTTCTGGGTGGGATCTGAGCCATCGGGCAAGGCCAAGTGACAACCCAGAGCTGTAGTCTGAAGGAAAATTCGGATCAGCCTGGGAACCTGCTGAGAAGGGTGCATCCCACAATTGTTCTAAAAAAGACACTAAGATGTGTAGAATGCCTACTGTGTGCTTGGCTCTGTGAGATCGGCTCGAAGCCTCCAGGTCCTTCTAGAAGGCATGGGGACAGGGGATTGAGTGTCTGCTTCCTCATTTTTTAAATGAACACAGCCCACCCTATAGATACAGTGGATACCCACGCCAGAAAGCCAAGAACTGACAAAGATTTCCCAGGGGCCAGCACGGTGGCTCAACAGCCTAGTGCTAGGATCTCATGTGGGTACGTGTTCTTGGCCCAGCTGCTCCACTTCCCATCCAGCTCCCTGCCTGTGGCCTGGGAAAGCAGTGGAGGACGGCCCAAAGCCTTGGGATCCTGCACCCGCGTGGGAGACCCAGAAGAAGCTCCTGGCTCCTGGTTTTGGATGGGCTCAGCTCTGGCCATTGGGGCCACTTGGGGAGTGAACCAGCAGATGGAAGATCTTTCTGTCTCTCCTTCTTTCTGTAAATCTGCATTTCCAATAAAAAGAAATACATCTTAAAAAAAAAAAAGATTCTCCAGCCAGTGAAGCCGCTGTAGCTGTGTTAGGTGGTCTGTCCCCATCACCCCCTCCCCCAGTCCTTTACCTGGTGGTAGCAGTAGACAGCTGTCAGGCATGGTGTAGCAATCAGGGAGCGAGACAAGAAGGCTGTCTTAGCCTGTGACTGGAACAAGCGCTTCCTCTTTTGAATGTAATGTGTGTTTCAGAGGAGTTGATTGAGAAAACCGCAAGTTCAGACGCCGACTTCCCCTGATGTGTTGCAATTAGCTCGCTTCCGGTCTCTGGCAACTGTCCACCCAAGAACGTGTCTCTGCCATCATTAGTGGTGGGAAAGTCGAATTTCCACCTGCAGAACTGGGTAATAAGCCCTCTGCACTTGAATAAAAATGGATCCAAGAGCTTTATGTTGACCGTGAAGCCTTACACAGAAGCCGAGGCTTGCAAAGCTTAAAGTGTTTCCTTTTTGCACCCTGCAGGCAAAAAGCTTACTTTTCTTGGCTTAGGAACACACAATTAGATCACACTCAATAAATAAAAGAGCAGACTTTTTTGGGGGGGGGGTCAGATACACAAATAAAATTCTGATTTTTATTTGCCCTTCAGAGAGTATAATCCTTTTTTGGGGGGGGTTAATTTTTATTTTGAATTTTATGGTACAATTTCATATAGACTGGGATTTCCCCCAAACTCCCAGTCCCTGACAGATTTTCCCGATGTTGCTACAATAGAATCGTCAGTCCTTCATAAGGAGTTACAATTCCATCAGTCTGTTATTTAAGTGTGCCGGACATTGCTGGTACAGACAGCGCCAGACAGCCCAGCATCCAGTTGTCAACACATGTCCAACACGATCCCTGGGAGTCCAGCTTTGATTTGCAAGCAGGGATGCACAGTGCGTTGCAAAGGGCATATCTTTCTAGTACAGAATAGAATAAACTCCAGTTGTATTGTTGACTTGCATGAACAGGTAAGACTACACACTAAGAAAAAGATTTTTAAAAAAATCATTGGTGGCAGTACTCCAAGAGAAAGCAGGAGAATAAATACGTGAACTGCAGCCATGAGAAGCTCGGGGGAGTGCTGTGCTGAGACCTGGTGACTGGGCTGTGGGCCTGGGAGTGCCTACCCGACCAGCAAGGTCTGCAGATGAGCCCCTGAAGGCAGGCGCATGAACGGCTCCATCAGGCCAAAAGAGAATGGAGCGACATATTCCAGGTTCTAAAAGCAACACATCGCCAGCCCAGGGTAATGTACCCAGCAAAGCTTTTTCTTTGTCTTTGAAGATGCAACAAAATTCTTCAACAGTGAAGCAAAGTTAAAAGAATGTGCCTCTTCCAAGCTTGCCATACAAATGATACTTCAAGATGTTCTCTTGACAGAGAAGGGTATAGGGGCTGGAGAGACCGCGACAAGGGTGGCATCCCAGCCCGAGGCAGAGACTTGCGTCATCGGGACTGTGGAAGGCAGCATCAGGGTGCTTAGGTCAGCCGGAAGGCGTGGGCAGCGGGTGAGATCATGCGATGGTCAGGGACCCCCAGAATCGGTGTCTGTCAGGATGGGCGCACTGTGGAGACAGCCTGCAGCACCCTGGTACCCTCACGTCATGGCGAAGCGCAGGTACTAGAAGCTGGACGGTGGGTCCGACGACGACGTTGGTGGAGGGCATCCCCGGGGTGCAGGTCCGCGTTACCTGACTGTCCAGGGCGGCAGAGGACAGCACTGTGAGCCACAGCATCTGGGCACGAGGCTGCGAGTCCCGAGCAGTCCGCGGGGAACCAGGCAACCGTGCGCTCCCGCGAGCCACAACGGCAGCATCCGGACGCCCGCAGCACCCGCGCCCTAACTGACCTGTAGCCTACCGGTGCCGTGAGGCCGCCTCAGACAGAGCAGTATCCGCTAAGATGGAGCCCCAGGCGGAGTCGGATCCTGATGCGGGGCAGGAGGCCCAGCAGGAGCCAGAGGCAGAAGTGACGACGCCCGAGGAGCCGCCCACGACCGAGACCTGGGTGGGTCCCGAGAGACAGGTGTCCGAGGCTGGACTGGTTCCTGAGAAGCCGGCCTCGCAGACGAAGGTGGAGCCCGAGAAACTCGTGCAAGCTGCCAGCCTTGCATCCCAGAAGTCGGCGTCCCGGATGAGGGTGGAGCGTACGAAATCTCTGCCAATTGCCAGCCTCGGGTCAGAGACTAAGGTGGATTTCAAGAAACTCTTGCCGGTTGCCAGCTTTGGGTCCCCAAAGCCGGCATCACAGAAGTTGGAATCAGAGACGAAAGTGGAGCCCGAGAAACTCCTGCCGGTTGACAGCCTTGCGCCCCAGAAGTCGGAATCAGAGACGACGGTAGAACCCGAGAAACTCCTGCCGGTTGACAGCCTTGCGCCCCAGAAGTCGGAATCACTAACGAAGGTGGAGCCGGAAAAACTTCTCCAAGTTGACAGCCGTGCGCCCCAGAAGCCAGAATCACAGATGACGGTAGAGCCCGAAAAACTCCTCCAAGTTGACAGCCGTGCGCCCCAGAAGCCGGCATCACAGACAGAGCCCGAGAGACTCCTGCCGGTTGCCAGTTTTGGGTCCCAGAAGCCGGCATCACAGACGGGGGTGGAACATGCGAAGCCGGTATCTCGGAGGAGACTGGAGCCTGAACCTGCCGGACAGTCGCAGTCTGAGAAGGGGAGGGAACCAACCTCCAAGAGGTTGTCCAAGGCCAAGACCCCCTTGGTGGTGCCCACGGAGGCCAAGGCAGATGCTGCGTTCCTCAGGTCCCCGGAGCAGCCCTCCCAGCGGAGAGCCTCGTCCAGGTCGCATAAGACACAGTCCCAGCAGCTGCGGGACAGGTGGGAATCGGCGGCAGGGGACCTGTTGCCGTTAGCTGTCCTCTCTAGGCGCAAATGTAACACTAACTGTATAGAGGCACCGATGGTCCGGGTCTTTGGGAGACTGGGCTGGGCCGTAGGCTCTCATCCCTGGTTCTTCCTGCTGCTGCCCATGGTGCTGACGGGGCTGTTGGGCATCGGCTTGGTCTACCTACCCTGGGGGGGCATGGAGAACTTGGAGGAGCAGTACACACCCATCGGGAGCCCCGCCAAAGCAGAGCGGCGCTTCGTTCAGGGACATTTCACCACCAACGACTCCTATCGGTTCTCCGATTCCCGCAGGAGCACCGAGACCAATTTCCTGTCCATCATCGTGGTGTCCAAAGGCAATTCGGTGCTGCACAGAGACATCTTTACCGAGATCAGCAGACTGGACAGGGCGGTGCAAACCATGGCTGTGAGGCAGAACAGAATGGAATTTCGGTACCACAAAGTGTGTGCCAAGTACAAGACGTTCTGCGTCCCCTGCAACCCGCTGCTGTACGCCTGGCAGCGGAACCCCCAGCTCAACCTGAGCCAGGTGACTTTCCCCATCTTCAACCACAACAACCATCCCGTCTACCTGGCTGGCTTCTTTGGCAAAACCACTCTGGGAGAGAATTTGGGAATGAGCCAGTTGCTGGTGGAAGCCAAAGCCATGCGGCTGCTGTATTACCTCAAGACGGAGCGCAGGGAGGACAACGAGCTCAGTAAAAAGTGGCTCACCCACTTCCTGAGCCAGTTCAACAACATGAAGCACCAGCTGGCCTTGCAGCACGTGCAGCTGGTGCACTTCACGTCGCTCTCCAGGCAGATGGAGTTCGAGGCCACTTCCGAGACGGTCATCCCTCTGTTTTACTGGGCGTACTCTCTGCTCGTCGTCTTTGCCATCATCTCGTGCTATAGGCTGGACTGTGTGCGCAACAAGATGTGGGTGGCCGTGTTTGGAGTGATCTGTGTGGTCTTGTCGGTGGTGAGCAGTTTCGGGCTGATGCTCTTCGTTGGGGTGCCGTTTGTGATCATCGTCGCCAACTCGCCCTTTCTTATTCTAGGTGTGGGGGTGGACGACATGTTCATCCTGATCTCCGCCTGGCAGAAGACCAAACTCTTGCAGAACACGAGGGAGCGCGTGTCGGATGTGTACTCCAGGGTGGCGGTGTCCATCACCATCACCACCCTGACCAACGTCCTGGCCTTCTACACGGGGGTCATGAGCTCCTTCAGGTCCGTGCAGTACTTCTGCATCTACACGGGGACGAGCCTGGTCTTCTGCTATCTCTACAGCATCACCTGCTTTGGCGCCTTCATGGCCCTAGACGGCAGAAGGGAGAGGAAGTGCTTCGACTGGTTGAAGAAGCCCGACCCCAGGTACTTCTCGCTTAAAAAGTTCTGCTGTCTCCCCTGTGGCGCTGTCATTGACGAAGAAGGGACCGACATCCATCCCATGAACGTGTTCTTCAGGGACTATTTCGGTCCCTTCCTGACCAACATCTGGTCCAAACTGCTCGTGGTGCTGTTGTACTTCGGGTACCTCAGCAGCAGCATATACGGCTGTTTCCGAGTGCAGGAAGGGTTGGACGTTAGAAATCTGGCCAGCGACGATTCGTACATCATACCGTACTTCAACACGGAGGAGGACTACTTCTCCGACTTTGGCCCCAGGGTCATGGTGGTGGTTACTGAACCCGTTGACTACTGGAACGAACGTGTCAGGCAGAAACTGGAGAAATGCATCACGGATTTTGAAAACAATGACTTTATCAATAAAAACCTGACAGAATTCTGGTTACCGACGTACGTGAACTATCTGAAACAAACAGGGCTGGACCCCAACGATAAGCAGGTTTTCATGAGCAACCTCGCCCCCTTCTTAGCTAGTGTGTCCTTTTTTATGTACGATCTGAATGTTTCATCTTCCAATGAAATCATTGCTTCCCGGGGCTTTATCCAGTCCATGGACATCTCCACTTCCAGCAGCAAGAAGACGATGCTGCTGCAGTTACGAGAGATAGCCGAGAAGTGCGAAGTCCCCCTCCTGGTGTACAACTATGCGTTTATATATTTTGATCAGTACGCCGCCATCATAGAGAACACGATTCGCAACGTCATGGTGGCGTCGTCGGTGATGCTCATTGTCGCCCTGCTGCTGATCCCTCACCCGGTCTGCTCCTTGTGGGTGACGTTTGCGATCGCTTCTGTGATTGTGGGAGTGGTGGGGTTCATGTCCTTCTGGAATGTGAACCTCGACTCCATATCCATGATCAACCTGGTCATCTGCATAGGGTTTTCGTTCGATTTCTCGGCACACATATCCTACGCCTTTGTCTCCAGTGCTGAGCCCTCGGTCAACGGAAGATCCATTGAGGCGTTGTACCTGCTGGGCTACCCCATCCTGCAGAGTGCCATTTCAACAGTCATAGGCGTGTGTGTGTTGTTTGCAGCTAAAGCATACATTTTCAGAACATTTGCTAAAATTATGTTCCTTGTTATGTTGTTTGGGGCCACTCACGGCCTCGTTTTTATTCCAGTGTTCTTAACATTCTTTGGAAAAGTTCTATGAATATCCGTGAACAAATCAAGGATCAAGACGGAATTCCCGATTGTCCCAATCCAATCTGATAAAAAAAAAAATGCGCTTGTTTAGTAAGGATAAATGTATATTTCTTTTCGTCTTCAGTTTTTATCAATATGTTAAATTTTTTAATGTACATCTTTTCCCACATTCTTGATGAAGTTTATTTCCACAATTTGTATGTGTTTTGATACTATCACAATTGAGATGGTTTTTCCTAATGCTTTTTGTAAAGATAACTCATTCAGAGCCTATTAAAATACTTGCAATATTTGTAATCCCGAACTGTATTTGTTCATTGTAACAATTTTTTTTGGTGGATAAAAATGCATTATTTAAGCATAATCAATAAACTTGGATGTATTTTTGTCTTCAGTTTGTTTTATCAGATTGTCTTCAGTGCGTCGATTCTGTGCGTTCTTGGTTAAGGCTGATTGTACGTATTTTGCTACTATCCTCATCGATACTTTTTCATTTTTAAAAGACAACTCGTTCTCAGCATGTAGAAATGTTTCTGGTACTTGTCATGCTTGTAATTCATGGGATCTGTTTATTCTAGCAGGTTGTTTTGATGGAGTTTTTTTTCCTATGCAGCCAGGTCATTTGCAGCATGGCTGTGACCCGATCTTTCTCAGCCGTAGGACCGGCGGTGAGAGCTTCCTTGTGGAGTGACAACACTTTGCGGTTTCTGATGGTTTTGTCCCAGTCTCCAGTGGTTTCCGTTTTCTATTGACTCATGGTTGGGTCCTCAGGGATTGTATGCCATTTATGAATCTACTCATTTTTTCCCATGATTTCTAATTTGTTGCCATATCATTGCTCAGCATAATCTCCCGTCAAGTTTTCTAGTTTGGTGATATTGAGTGTGATTTTTTTTTATATTTGCTACTTTTGTTTATATTATCATTCTATTGTTTTTCTATTTTTAAATTTTATGATTGGTTTCATTCTGTGAACTTTAGGCTTAGTTATTTGATCTTCTGACTCTAGTTTATTAAGGTATAAAGTTAGTCATTTTTCACTGCAGATCTTTCAGTCTTAATGTGGGAATTACCACTGTAACTTTTCCTATTGGAACGGCTTTTGCTAAATCTCATTTGTTTGGAATGTTGTGTTTCTAGGTTCATTTATCTCATGAATTTTTCTATGGATTTCTTGATTTGCTGCTTGCTCAGAGGCAGGGTGGATTTCTATATATTTGTGATACTTTTCAAATATTCTCCTACGATTGATTATTCAGTTGCATTACCATTTTGGCCAGAAAAAGAGAGCTACTGCTGTTTCAGCCTTGCGGAGTCGGCCAGGATTTGTATGTAACCTCATAGCCGATCATTCTGGAACAGCGGTCCAGATGCTCTGGAGATGATATGCCTTTGGCTGCCGGTGGGTCACATGTTCCGACAGGTCAGCGAGGTCCGTGTCAGCTCTCGTGGAGTTCAAACATGACTGCTGATTTTTTATCTGGATCAACTCTCCATTCCTGAACAGAGTTGTTGAAAGGTTTGCGGGTCAACTGATTCAATGAGGTTCAAATGGGGGTGTGGGGGGAATGATCTGGTGCCAGAATCCACTGGGGCCTGTGGTCACAAGGGACCGTTCTGGAAACTGTGTCTGGGTGGACACTTGAACAGTCCAGGATCCTAGAACCATCCTGGAGTCTGTCTGGACTGGCGCTGGGGATGGCCAGAGGCTTGGCTTCACAGTTAGCTGGCATGAAGTTTTCATATGAATGTGCTCAGTAGACGCTTAGTGAGAGCTAGGTCTGGAGGCAGCAGTCAGGAGCCTACGCAAGCTTGGAGAGGACTGGGTGGGAATGTTTCCTTTGCTAGACAGAGCACGTCTCTGTCCTCACCATGCTAGGACTAGGGTAGGATGGTTCAGGTCATTTAACTCTATAACACGGAATTTGGTGCACTTGTGGTCCAGCCACAACCAGGAGCATGCAGATTTGGGGCTTCTTGGTGACCATGAAGTGCAGGAGGTGACAGGTGGTTGGTTATAGGCCGTCAAGAACAGAAGCTTGGGCAACACTGAAACTAGTGTTTAAAAGCGCATCTGTGTGACGCAGCCTGCGTAGCTGATGGCTCGGCTCTGTGTCTGGGTGTTCGCCAGCATCTCGGGGATGGTGGTGGAAGTGAAGCAGACATCATCCACCAAGGACAGGTTGGAGGGGAAGACGTACACGGAGTTAGGGGTCTGAAAGGATGGCCAGGACTTCTCCCTTCGCTCCGCTTCCCCTAGGAGACAGGCATCTACCTGCTGTGCAACAGCGGCTACCGAGAGCAGTGACCTGTGTGGACCCTCTGATGAGCAGGATAACAATATTCCACCGAGAGAATGGATCCAAGAGCCGGAGGAGACACTTGGGTGTTGAAAGTCCACATCAGGGCAGGAAGCCAAGCTTGTGTTGTAGAAACCGATGCTAGAAGCACACAGGAAGTTCTGGTTTTCATTTCTTATAAAACTATATGAATAGCCTTAGGGGATCCGTGTACATTTTTTCCTTTGGAAATTAGTAAAAACCATGGAGCTTGGGCATTTGGTGCCATGGTCAATTAGCTATTCACATCCCTTTTCAGAGATCTGGATTTGAGTCCAATCCACTCTGGGAAGCAGCAGGTGCAGGTTCAAGTTCATGGGTCCTTACCAACCATACAGGAGACTCAGACTAAATTCCCAGCTCCTGTCTTAAGCCTGGTTCAGCCTTTGGGGAGGGAGCCACCATGGTGCAGACCTAGTCTGCTCTCTCTCTCTTTCAATAAATACAATACATACATTAGGACTTAAAAAAAAATACTTGGAATGACAAGCTAACTTGAGAACTTATCCATAAAACATTCATTTTCCCCTCATGAGACAAATGGGACTTTCGACGAGTTTTGGGTCCATGGTTGAGGATCATAATAGGATCCTGGGAAAATGACACAGGGATTAATTAGCAGGCATCAGAAGCAGTTGGAAGCCTAAAAAAAAAAATAAGATACTTAAAACTGTAAGAAATAAATATTAAAGGAAATAAGTGCAGGGATTTACTTTCAGACACTCATAAAACAACCATAACTCCTGGCCTAATGGAGGGAGCCCAGCATTCACGGGGGTGTCCTCCTGAGTCCCAGGACAATGGGCTCACTGACAGTGTCCCTCTCAGAGAGTCTCCTCAGGGCCCTCTTGATGTCCTTATTCCTCAGGCTGTAGATGAAGGGGTTCAGCATGGGGGTGACCACGGTGTACATCACCGAGGCCATGGCAGTGGACTCTGGGTTGTGGGTAATGGCAGAACTAAGGTACACACCCAGGCAAGTACAATAAAACAAGGAGACGACCGAGAGGTGGGAGGCACAGGTGGAAAAGGCCTTGTATTTCCCCTGAGCTGAGGAGATGGTCAGGACGGAGGACACGATCTTGCAGTAAGAGTACAGGATCCCAGCCAGGGGCCCAATAGCCAATAGCACCGCTGCGATATAGATGACCACATCGTTAATCAAAGTGTCAGAACAGGCGCTGTGGACCACCTGGTTCAACTCACAGAAGAAGTGTAGGATTTCCAGATGTGCACAGAAGCTCAGCCGCAGCACCATGAAGCTTTGCAACAGGGAATGCAGAGCGCTGATGACGCCAGAGACCACAAGCAGCTGCGCACAGAGCCGGGGGCTCATGATGACCGTGTAGTGCAGGGGGTGACAGATGGCCACAAACCGGTCATAGGCCATCACGGCCAGGAGAAAATCATCTAATCCTGCAAAAAGCAACAAAAAGAACATCTGTGTGATGCAGCCCGCGTAGCTGATGGCTCTGCTCTGCGTCTGGATGTTCACCAGCATCTTGGGGACGGTGGTGGAGGTGAAGCAGATGTCCACCATGGACAGGTTGGCGAGGAAGAAGTACATGGGCGTGTGGAGGTGGGAGTCAGAGAGGATGGCCAGGACGATGAGCAGGTTTCCACTGACAGTGACCAGGTACATGGAGAGGAACAGCCCAAAGGTGAGAGGCTGCAGGGCTGGGTCTTCTGAGAATCCCAGGAGAAGGAATCCTGAAATTCGGGTATTATTTTCTGATGCCATGTGATCGTGAGACTGCGGGTGAAGAGAACAGCGGCATGGTCTGTATCCACATATCTGGATATTGCATCACGGATATTGTGTAATCAAGAAACTAGATTGTGCTGGTGTGGAGGGTACGTACTGACCTTCCCTTTGCAGTGGACCCTTCGTTCCATCTCATTACAGTTTTCTCGTCCTTCTCCAGCATTTTCCACCAGGAGGTTATTATTGTCCTACACTTTATGGAGAAAAACCCTCACGTCCTTGGAGAGTACGTATTTCATGTTGGCCATGGCTCCAGGGCAATCCGATCCCGAGTATCAGTACCTACAGTCTGCCGGCAGGGGGAGGAAGTGAGGCGGAGATCGAAAGGATCGGGTCTCACGGGGGAACGATGGGCGCCCTGTGAAACACGGGAGCTGACTGGGAGAACAGCGCGAGCCAGGGTGCTGTCTTCATGGGGCTGCAGGCAAGGGCAGCAGACAAGCAGAGCCCTCCACCGGGAGCAGTGGGATTCCACAAGGCTTTAGATGGGTCTGCCTGGCAGGAGGTGCAGGCAGTGTGCTTGTTCCAGAGGCAGGTGTGTTTGTTTCAGAAGGCCACATCCAACAGGAAGCCAACGGCGTGCCAAAGGCAATAAGCAACTTGTGGAGGGATGAGATGCTGTGTTTCTGGACGTTAAGAAGTGAGGGGTCCTCCCTGCTGTCATGGAATTTAGCGCACAGGGCCACATACCACGTGGTCCCTCTCACACTGTATCTGTGTCGTAGCAAAGGTGTCCTTCAAGCTTGGGAGCTTCTGCTGTTTGTTCCAAGAGAGGAGCACTTGTATCAGATGGCCTCCTCTCTCTCTCTCTCTCTCTCTCTCTCTCTCTCTCTCACACACACACACACACAGAGTCCTCAGTTTCAGGGCCGTGCATGCTATTCCGTGTTCTCACTCCACACTTGCATGCATTCAGACAAGCAGGGGCAGACTGAGGACAAGCAAACTGCCAGCATCAGCTCCCGTTTCCCCTGCAGAGTGGAGACAGACGACCCAGCATGCCCACGGCAGACCTCCTGGAGGGGGAGCAGCAGGGTCCCCCGGGATAGCTGGACCCATGTGTGCGTGTAGTTCAGAAAGCACGCCTGAGTCTGCTCACTGCACGGAGAAAGAGCATAGATGCATATGAGGGAATAAGACTGCCGAACACATGCAGGTGGCTTCAGGCCGACTGTGATGGAGAGAGGAGTCCCCCGGTGCTAGAGACATGCCAGCTCTGCTTCTTACGCCCTTGATGCACACGGTAAACTCTCAATCAGCAAACCACAGTGTCTCTGAAACAGAGTGGGGGGATGCAAAGACTCCTTAGAGATGGAACACCTCAGTGGAATAATAAGCCAGAAAAAAATCCAAAATGCACAAAAGAAACACCACAGGCAACCAAATGGGAGCATTGTCAAAGATGAAAAGACTTTTTAATAAAATTAAATTGGGAACCTTGGCATCAGCCAGGTCCTAAGCTTTAGATGGACCGAGTATTAGTTGTTGTTTGAGCTTTGAGAACAACTGGACTATTCTAAATGTCGGAACCTTCTCCATAACTGTTAAGATAAGTTACTGGAAGAACTTTCTTAAGCATGCCTGGCAAAGTTTGTGAGCGTGTGTTTTAAAATGAGCATATTTTAACAATAGGCTTCCAAATGAATGATCATGGAATTACCCCTCCTAGACACGGTGAGCTTACTTGCGCCAGTCTCAGCTGCGCCACAGACTTCACAGAGCTGTATAAACCCAGAGCCTGTTCCTTCGCACGGTTCCTTCCTGAGCCCTGGTGGGACGACGAGGCTGATGCTTTGCCAGCTGCCTTGTGAACATCTTCCGTCCTACCCAGCTCTCAGTGCCCAGGTCCTCAGCCTTTTTCTTCTGTTTGTTACCCTTCCTCTCTGCTCTAGCCCAAACACGGCAATGATGCAGACTCGTCAACACTCAGCTGCAGGCACACGGGTACCGGGAACATTGAGGAAGCTCTCATTAGCAGAAAGACTCGAAGCCACACGAGCTGCCGGGATACACATCCCGCTGGCCTGGAGAACTGAGGCAGGCGTCGGTGTCGGCTCACTGGCAGATCCTCCTGGTTGCACTGATGATTAAATCCCATTGCTCTTGCTAGAACTGTTCAACATTCACTTCACTGAACTTGGTTGTATAAGACACAGCAGAGAGAGGAGTGCTGGAGGGAGCTAGGCAGTGGCCTCCTGGACTCCGTTACATGGGAGGACTCAGTGCAGCGTGCCACAGCACCACAGAGTGACAGTGGCCTCCGGAATTTCAGCACACGCTTTACAAAGAGAGGACCGAGGAAGCTGTAAGGACCCACAGGCTCCCCTAGTTCGACTATTATATATTGTGTAACTGCATCAAACTGTTTCACCGAGCCCCACTAAAATGTGGAACGAGTAAGTGCCTATTTCCCAAAGTGCATGTTATGCACGTGCCATGTATGAATGGGATTCATTCATTACACCAAGGAAGTAAAAAAGAAAAAGCTGTTTAAGATAGGTGACAGCGAAAAGCAGTGGCTGGCGTACACACAGCAGTGAGCCTCCAGATCAGATTGCACAAAACGGACCCACGTTCCCACATTCCCGCTCCTATGTACCCCGGGTTGGCGCTAAGACAAAGGACAAAGATGGAGAAAAGCCTCAGTTCTTATGGAGGAAATCTAGGAAGGGGGAAAAAAAAAACCCCTGCAAGCCCACAAGGCAAAAGCAAAGATCGCAGGCTCCCAGCTCGAGAGAAATCCAAGGCTTAGCTAGCCCAAGTGGAACCCAATAGGGGAAGCACCTGCAGTGGCAAGCTTTCTATTAGCCCTGACCCCAGGGATGGAGCCAATCTGTAATTCACAGGAATTCCTGCAAGCAGAAAGATCCTGCAAAGCCCTGTGGGGGTGGGAATCCAGACAGTACTAACACATTGTGTCTAACAGAAAAATAAGCGTGGATTTCAGAAATATTTGTGCAACAGAATCAATGTATCTTTTCCGTCCAGTGTTCCACACCTTGTCTGAAGTCCTCTCTCTCCTGTGACCGGACTATTGCAGAGTACTATTTAAAGCTATACATGGATTGGATGACTTAGATAGAGCATACACCAAGACACCAAATATTGCAAAATCAAAGCCAACACGAGGTAACAGCCCTCACTTGGCAAACGTCTCACCCTTTTTCTGATTTCGCTTCCCTGCCTCGGGCTGCCCCTTCCTTCGGCAGTCACTGCACCTGCTTCCCCTGTCTCCTCACTTCCCTCAAGCATGCTTTCTTGCTCAGATTTCTCTCCCTAGTTCAGTAGTCCACAGGTGATCTCCGGGCTCGGAGCTAAGCAGCACTGGCTCTGTGGAGACCTCAGATGCCCCCTGACACTGTAGTACTCACCTGGATGGGTTCACCTGGACGGGGTCTCTGAGAGGCAGGTATCCTCTGCGTGGGAATCCTCAGGATCGGGACTGAAGCTCTGTCCCAGGTCAGCCAGCAGGAGCGAGGGACAGAGACCTCAGCCCGAGAACGGAGAGGACACCACCGTGGCCCACGCGCTCCAAGGTGGCACCTGTGCAGGACGGCAGCAGGCAGATAATTACAGCTGCTGGTCTCTGCTCATTACACGCGTCTCCCTCTTGGGACTGCAACCCTGAGCGGCTGATTTCCCTGTCGGACTGTGGTCTGGGCAGGAAGGAAAATCTGCCAAGTCTGTGTTCCCTGGAGAGCCGCGGGGCAAGCCAGGCGAGCCCAATCCTTCTCACTCTATGAGTTCTCTTGAATGCAATGTCCTTAACAGCTTTTCCCATCCAGCATTCTCTCCACAGTCTAGAACCAAGGCATTGACCAAGTCCTTGGATTCCCCAAAGCTCTGTCTGTGAGGAGCCCTCTGAAGCATGACCTGGGAACAGAAAGAGATGATGACCCAAGAGTTTGGGTTCAGGCATCCATGTGGGAGACTGTCTCCCCCCCTCCTCTTCTCTCTCTCCCACTCCTCATCGCTCCCCATCTCTCCCCTGTCTTTCCATCTCTTTCTCCTTTCCCTTGTGCTTGAAGAAGCTCCTGGCTCCTGACTGCAGATCAGCCTGGCTTGGTTCTTTTAGCTGTTTGGGGAGTGAACCAGCACATAGAAGATCTCTTTCTTCCTGCCCCATCTCTCTCCCACTCTGATAAGTCAGGAATGTCTACTGTTATCTTCCCCCAAAGAATGTATATCTGATGTCCCAAGATTCCAGATCAGAAGCACAGCAGCAACAGATAATGTTCCCATGAACGAATGTTCCCATTGCTGACTCTGGTTAGTAAGACGATGTGAAAAAAATCTGTTCAAAAAGAGGCAGTGGAGGAGAAGGGAGCGTGGCAGAGATGGATGGAGGGATGGACGGATGGACGGATAGATACCAGAGGGAGGGAGATAGAGAGATTTGAAATGGTTTTGGAGGAAAATCTAAAAATGTTAAGCAGTTCACACAATGGAATACTACTCAGTCATTAAAACAATGAGATCCTTCAATTTGCAGCAAAATGGAAGGACCCGGAGAGCCTCATGCTAATGAAAGAACAGATACAGAGAGGCAAACATCACGTCTTCTCTCTGATATGAGAACACTAAAAACAAAGAGAAAAGCTCAACATGAACACGAATGAGGGTCTCTAGAGGCTGGGACGGGTAGGAGAAGATAGAGGACATGGGGTCATGGGAACCCCATAAGTTAGACTGGAGGCGTCAGTTCCTGGTGTCTACTCATTGGGGAGGGGGGGACTCTCATCTGCCAACCCCCCCAGCATATGTTTTGTGAACAAATAAGAGAGAGGAGACCCAAGTTTCCAATCATAAAGTTTTGTTGTAAATGAGAAGTGTTGATTGCTCAGCTTCGATCACTACACATCGTGTAAAGTATTGAAATACCACACTGTAGTTCATAAATATGCACATTCAGTCTTAATTAACTCTATAAGGATAAAAATGGAAAAAACACATGCAGAAAAAAACCCAAGAAGTTGTGGTGCTATTCCTGTCTGCCTCCCGAATCCCCCTCACTCCCAGCAAACACGAGCATGGTGAATATACCAAGGACAGCAGTTTGCTTTTGAATTCTCTTGTGGTAAGTTCCATAGACTGAGAGAGAGAGAGAGAGAAGAGAGAGAGACCTTCCATGCATTGGTTCATTTCCTAGACGGTCATGATGCCGAGGGGTGGATCAGGCCATAGTCAGAGGGCAAGAACTTCATCCAGGTCTTCGACATGGGTGCAGGGGCCCAAGCGCTCGGGTCATATTCCACTGCTTTTCCACATCATGACCAGGGAGCTTCTGACCTGGAAGTGGAGCAGCTGGGACATAAACCTGAGTCCACATGGTACGCTGATGCTGTCGTTGGCAGCTCTACCAGCTCTGCCACAACACTGACCCCCACCCCTAGATTGAACGGGTCTTTGACATGTTGTCAATGTACTTCATATGTATACATCTTTTTTTTTCTGGTTTGCAAAGCAGTATTTATTTAGGAACAAACAAAGGAAAAAAAAAAAAAGGCTGCTGCCATAGTGGCAGGAGGGGGTTCCATGCATCCCGAGGGGGGATGAACACTTTAAAAAAAGAGATTTTTATTTTAAGTCAGATATATACAGAGAGGAGAGAGAGAGAGAGATGCTGTCTGGAGCATCCCGAGAAAAAAAGCAAGCTTCGAACACGATGTGTTTAAATTGTACAGGTTTAATATAGGTTAAACTGGTGGCTAAAATCTTGTAGAAATAGCAGTGGGTGAACAGAAGAAAATGGTGCTTTCATAGATGCAAGGGTAAGAATTCCTGACTCCGAGACTTAATGCCTGCAACTCTTGGGATTTGTTCAGCCCATAATCAATGTCCCACTTGCCATTTTCCCTCCCCCAAATCTCTTTAGGGCCTTCTTTATGTCTGTGTTCCTCAGGCTGTAGATGAAGGGGTTCAGCATGGGGGTGACCACGGTGTACATCACCGAGGCCCTCGCGTTGGACTGTGAGTTTTGGGCACTAGGATAACTAAAGTACACACCTAATCCTGTGCAATAGAATAAGGAGACAACGGAAAGGTGGGAGGCACAGGTGGAAAAGGCTTTATACTTTCCCCCAGCAGAAGAAATTACACGGATAGAGGAGAAGATCTTAGAGTAGGAATAAAGGATCGCGGTGAGGGGACCTCCTCCCAGCAGCATAACTGTAAAATAGATGAGCATGTCATTCATAAAGGTGTCAGAGCACGCAGCATGGACCACCTCATCCAACTCACAGAAGAAGTGAGGAATCTCCAAGTGTGTGCAGAAGCTCAGCCGCAGCACCATGAAGCTTTGCAACAAAGCATGCAAGAAACTGATGACACAGGACACCAGAAGGAGCTGCACACAGAGCCGGGGGCTCATGATGACCGTGTAGTGCAGGGGGTGACAGATGGCCACAAAGCGGTCATAGGCCATCACGGTCAGAATAAAGTTGTCCAGCTCTGCAAATAGCATGAAGAAGAACATCTGTGTGATGCAGCCCGCGTAGCTGATGGCTCTGCTCTGCGTCTGGATGTTCACCAGCATCTTGGGGACGGTGGTGGAGGTGAAGCAGATGTCCACCATGGACAGGTTGGCGAGGAAGAAGTACATGGGCGTGTGGAGGTGTGGGTCAGAGAGGATGGCCAGGACGATGAGCAGGTTCCCACTGACAGTGACCAGGAACATGGAGAGGAAGATCCCGAAGATGAGAGGCTGCAGGGCTGGGTCCTCTGAGAATCCCAGGAGAAGGAATTCTGATGGCTGTGTTTCATTGCCTGGTTCCATTTGACTGAGATTGACTACCAGCTAAGGGAAAAATAGCAAAACAGTTTTTAAAACACATTAAGGTGACTGCTACTTTTTTTAAATTTATCACTTTGAACATGGGTTTCCATATTTTGTGCAGGATTCTATTTAGGAAACTGTTCGTGTCTGTGAGAACAGTTTCCATTCAGGACCTCCATGGTTCTCTCCCAGCTCTGTTCTGGGAGGCAATCGGTGCTGATCGAATTAGTGGGGTCGCATTCACTGTGTGCCCGGAACTCTGGGATCCCGTTTGGCTTGAATTAGCCTTCCTTGTTGTACAAGCACTGGAGACATGCACCAGCATAAGGGAACTCTCTCCTTGTGTCTACATCTGTCTCTTCCCCCCAAAAATCAAAACAAGTGATAAAATACCTCCATCGACTCTGCATCCTCACCACTTCCATCCTGTTCTTCCCCCTGTACCCCTAACTGCAGGAGATCTGCGTACCTAATCGGAAGCACTTCCTGACGCTCAATCCGTGCTCTGTAATCAGTGCATTGGAAACCAAGAACCCTGTGTATATATGTATCTTTTTCCTCCAGACCACAGACCAACAGTCCGATTAACCCGGTGAGGAAGCAGTGTTGACTGGGTGACTGGTTCAAGCATCAGGTGGCCCCGGTTCAATGCTCTTAGCTATCATTCCCCCCTGCCCGCCCGCCCGCTGCTCCCCTGCAGCACCGACAACGTTCCAAGGCTCACCTGGGTGGGTTCTCCAGGAGGAGGGCCTCCGTGTGGAGGTGCGATTCCTCCCTGGAGGCTGGTGATGGAGAATGGGGGGTCAGTCTCCCTCTACTCCTCACTCCCCAGGAGCAGGGCAAAGCATGAGTTGGGGGTCAGACCAGGATTCCCAGAGCAACGGACTCGCCCCATCCAGGTTGGCGTGGCATCTGTGCAGGCTGGTAACAGAGGGTGAATTTATGTCCCCCATCTCTGCTCACTAGGCTCATCTCCCTCTTGGGGTCGCGGACTCCGATCACCTGATTTCCTTGGAGACGCCAGCCTGGGAAAGAAGAGACCTTCTTGCTGAGTCTCTGTTCCCAGGAGAGCAGGAGAGAAGCCAGCTGAAAGGATTCCTTCTCTCTGAGCTGTCCTACCTCCCAGCGGCCCAATCTCGCAGCACTAGACCTTTCTGGAGTTGAAGCGTTCTCTTGAGTCTCAGAGGGAAGAAGTCCCACCTGTGTGGACCAAGCTGTTTCCTTGATGTGAAACTCACGGCCCTTCCGCCAGTAAGCACCAGTTTATGTCACATAATCAGAGATGTTGCTAGTTAGCATTATGGGATGTCTGCGCGTTGGAACAGGTGCACTTATTCATATGTTAGTTCTTATTGACACAATATGTGGGTACAGGGTGATGACTGACATGATCAAACAAAGGTAATTAGAATGTCGATGATTTATCACTTGCTTGAGCTGGATTTTTTTGTTGTTGCTGCTATTGTTGTTCTGGCTGAATTCAATTTTAAATATTTATATACTTTTAAGGCAGGGGCACCCACAACAATTCAGGAAGACAGAGATAAAGAGGCAGAGAATTTGCTGCTTACTAGTTAGCAAATGAACACAGCAGCTCAGTTGCAAACAGGCTGTCACCAGCATGCCAGCATTCCTCCTACATTTCCACATGGACAGCAGGAGGGACCCAAGGGATTCAGCCACTGCTTTATGCCCGTTGGAACTGGAGTACCAACAGAGGGAGAGATACAGAGAGATCTTCCACCCGTTGGTAGATTCCCGAAATGGCTGCAAGAGCTGGAGCTGGGCTGATTGAAGTCAGGGGCAAGGAGCTCCTTGCAGGTCTCCCACGTGGGTGCAGGTGCCAACCACGTGTCCCGACCTCTGCTGCTTCAGAGACACACTAGTGTACTGTGTCAGCACGTTCCCTGTAAGGCCAGACAAGGGGCGACAAAACCTTTGAGCTGTGGAATGTCCTGGAACAACTGTATTTCCCTTTCTTTTTACGATTTAATGTGGATGTCCCACCGTGGCGTGGGGCCAGTGCCAAAAAGTACCTAAAATTAATTTTTGTCTTAAAAACATTCACTTATGTTTTTATTGGGAAAGCGTATTTACAGAAAGGACACACTGGGACAAAAATATCCTTCTTAAAGCTGTCTGACATTTAATTGTAGGATGTGAAATTTGAAAACATTTGTCCAACATTCTAGAATTCTCTCAGAAAACTTCATGTTTGTGGCCCTTTTCCACATATCCCTTCGCTGGGGCCTCCTGAGGAGTGGCTGCAGAAGGAAGATCTGTTTCTCTTTCTCACCTCTCCGTAAATCTGCCTTTCCAATAATACATGAACTACAACAACAACAACAAACCCACCGTGATTTGTGCTCATGTGCTAACTGACAATAGATGTACTTGTATTTCTGCACTCAGGAATCATGAGAGATGGGACTGTTCACCAGGTAAAATTGTGCAATTGTAAAGTTGGTTTCTCCTCTTCCTCTGGCCTTAGGGGGATTTCAAGCAAGAATGTTCCTGCAGGATCTCATTCCACCCTTTTTGTGGCCTTTGGGTATCAAAGTGGTTCCTTGATAAGGTCTCTGCCCACATCTCACGGGAACTCCTGCTTGGGTCTTGCTGTCCATGGAGTTGGATGACATGATGGCACCTGCGGCTGGTGAGAATGACAAGCAAAACATGTTTTCAACCTTGCGTTTTTCACCTGGATAGGAGCCCTCACCCGCATGGCTCCAGGGCCAGGAGGCTCTTCATTCCTCCAGGGAGTTGGTGAGCTGTCAGCTGCAAGAGTATTAGAGTGGCCCTGCAGTCCACAGGCCACACACACTCAGACACACACGCATACGCACACGCACACACAGGCTGTACGCATGCACCTGCCTGCCCCTGCCTGTTCCCCGGCCCTGCCTCTTGGCACTTTGCTGCACAAAATCCCAGATGCTTCCTCTGCTGTTGCTCCTTCTCATCCTGCAGCTTCACTGCGCTGTGTGCCAGCCGCAAGACCCCGTCTGCTTTGATGTCAACGACCGCCGTGATTCCAAGGATGGAGACGTGTTGCTCACTGCTTTCTTGCCCGTCTGTTTATACTCTATATCCAGGCTCCCCACCCAGCATGAAGACCGCCTCCATTTCAGAAGGTAAGCATCCATTGAGTCTTTTCCTTTTTTTTCCCCTCGGAGGTCCCAGTGGTACCTGTCAGGTCCCTGCAGGTGGTGAGATCAACGCACTAGGTGTGCCTGCGTGGGCTATGCCCAGCCTCCTGCTCCGAGGCGTGGTGACCTCAGCTGGGGTCTCATGAATACAGTGCCCCTTGGTCCATGTCTCTGAGGTGTTGAGTAAACAGTTCTGCGTGGTCCAGGAGGGACAGCGATGCTGGTTAGGCTTCCTGGCCGCTGCACTCCAAGGACCTCAGCCCAGGGCTCTCCCAGCTCTGCCTTGGCACCACATGTTCTTAGTCACCTAGCTCCTCCACGCAGGATGCACCACGTTTCTACTCAGCGCTACATACTGAAGAACTCGCTCGGGGTTACCTTGACTGGGGAACAAAAGCTGTTTGCTCGGGTGCTGGCTGGGAGCAGACCTGGGAGTTGGGGATGTTGGTGCTGGCTGGTGTGCTCACAGCCCCTGCCATCTCTTTGCCCTGGGAAACAATGGGTGCACTGTTGTGAGTGAACTCAGAGCCACGGAGAGCCCAACACACTCAGGAACAATGAGTCAAATGAGTAAGAAATGGCCGTGACCCTCACCTTTCACAGCGGCACGGCTTGGGCAACCTTTCCCCAAGAGGAGGGTTTGACAGTCTGAGGGAGCAGCCGATGTGTTTCTGGCCGCAGGAGACCTGTCCACCTCTGCCAGCCAAAACACCGAGCTGTGTTAATGGAGGGAGGAATGCGGGGACCTTCCTTCATGGGGAAGAGTGGGTGCTGAACACTGCACCACCTCCTGAAACCCCCTCCCCAGGCCATGTGCACTCAGGGTGGACAGCAGAATTCTCCCTGACACAGGGTCATCTCGGGCACAGGGACACTGAGTCTCCTCACAACGTGCTCTGGGAAGGTGTCCTTCCTGGCCGGCAGTCACGGGCTGCCCTGCACACTCCTCCACCGATTAACCAATGCCCAATGCGGCTCGGGCTCTGTTGTGTGTGGGATCTGAACTAGGAACACCCAGGTTTTGATGCCATTTTCTAACAGCAAAGATAAGTGAGATGTCTCTATATCCAGCCCTGTGGGATGGCTCAGGTTCCTGCTTCCTATTTGTGCTATTGGTATAGCTAATAGAAACTTACATTTATTTTCGAGGCAGAAGTACCGAGTCCTCCATTATGGTGTGAAAAGTAGACTCAGAGCCAATAGATACTGTCATAGATTTATTATAATGCAAAAGAACAAATCTCACACAACATACTGCACAAAACATCCTTGAGTGCGCTACTCCCTCTGAGTTGCCTGTTCCCAGATGCGTTTGTCCCGATGAGGCTCCAGGTGCTGTGGCGAATCCAGCATTGGGACAGGGCTTCAGTGTGTTCAGGATGCCCATTCACCTTCTGCTCTCGCCCGGATGGCTCTGCTGTTCTACAACATGTCAGGGCAGGAAGCCAAGAGGGTATTTGGATTCTTACATGCTAGGGCCCGTGCACTTGTGGGAGGACCCAGGGCTTTTTCTTATCCGGGAGCCTGTTGATAGTTACTGCCTTCGCAGCCTCCCCAGGCAGGCTTGCAGAGCCCACGTGCACGCCTGCCTGGACATTTTCAGAACAACCTTCCCAGCCCTCCCATGCCCTTGCTTCTGTTGTCAACACCAGGAGCCTCTGCCCAGCAGGGGAAGGAGAGGTTCCCCATGAGACAACACAAGTCACAGGAACTGCATCTGGGGCTGACTATGCCCTGACCCTGACATTGCTT